TGGTTGGTTTCTATGCAGAAGTGCACCTGATTTTGCACTCTCCAGCTTTAGTAAACAAAACCTTATATAGTGTAATCTGTTGCTCTGTATGGATATCCTATAGTAATAAAAGTATTTATATTCCAGTGTTAGATGTTTCCTTAAGTCATGGATCTCTCAGTCTAGTACACTTCAGATGAGAACTAATTAATCAGATCAGACACAAGCTAATTTTTGCTAGTATGCTCCTCTCTGAACATTTTTGAAATTTGTATGGTGTGGAACATGAATCTAAAAGCCATAACGTGCTTGGACACATTGGCTTCAAAAGAGCTGAGTTTAGAGAAATAAGAAAAAAGAACAATACCTCTAAAAAGCGCATTTTCTGCCCATTTGCATGGAGCCTTATACTGTATAGGTGAGACATGTTCACTTTAGCATCATATCCTGTTGATTAGTAAGGCTTATACTGAAAAGTGAACTATTTTTTTTTCCTCAATGCTTGTATTTAATACTTGGAGATGATTCTCAAATAAGGAATATGGAGACTGTTTGTCATGTATGTAAGAAGAAGGGGTCTTTTATTAGGGAATAATATATTTTAGTGTAGGGCTAGAATACAATATATTATTGGTTATTTTAGACTTGGCATCACAAGTCTTTAGAGTGTTAGCAGCTTTACTAAGAGGTGGGGATTGTATCTAAGCACAGAGGTTTTTCTTATATTCATCTTTTATTAGGGTACTATGTTTCTTAATGAAAAGCAAGGTTTCACTTTATAACAAGTATATATATGTAGGTTCAACCGATACAATGAACACTGGAGGAAGAATTAGGTTACCCTTAGGCTTAGGGCTGATCACATTATATGGACTGGTCCTTCAATACCTATACTTCCTAAAACCATGCTTTACGGGAGGATACTTCCTATCCTATAGTCTTCCTATCCTAGCCATTCCAAGTCTTCTATGTCAGTTAGTGAATTACGTGTCTTTCAACTGAAAAAAACTTATTTTGCCTTTTTCCATAGAGTTTATATGATAATCTGAATCAGAATACCAGAGTGCTGTTTATAAGAGGGGTTAAAAAAAATATCGCTCAACACCTTATCAAAGCCTGACCCCATCATGCATAACCTCCCTGAAGCCCATATCTCAGTAATCCCAAAAGCCAGGAAAGATTCCACCTCGGTAACTAATTATCGCCCAGTTCCCTTGCTTAATGTGGACCTAAAGATCTTTGCCAAGATAATTGTGAATCGGTTTCTACTGATAACCAATTCACTCATTGCTAAGGACCAAGTAGCGTTTGTCCCAGGTAGGGAAGCATGGGATAATACGATTAAAGCAATAAATATTCACCATTGACTCTACCTCCAATCATCGAGGCACTTTCCTTTCCCTGGATGCAGAGAAGGCATTTGACAGGCTAGCATGAGACTATCTCAAAGCTTTGTTGAGGAAGCTAGGCCTGGGAACACGCTTGCTAAACTTCATCATAGCCCTTGCAGAACCTACTGCTCAGTTTTGTGTTAACGGACACCTGTTGAATGCCTTCTCCATTTATAATGGCGCCAGACAAGGTCGCCCCCTATCCCCACTGCTGTTCATTCTTACACTTGAACCCTTTCTTCGATGTCTCCAATAAAATGAGAACATCAAAAGGCATAACAATTTCAGACAAAATTTACAAATAAGCGGCGTTCGCTGATGACATCCTGCTTTTTCTTTTTGGAACCTCACGTCACTCTACCCAATCTATAACAGGATTTCCAATTCTTTCAATACCTCTTCAACTTCAAAATGTATTTAATCAAATCACATGCCCTGAACATCACCCTACCTGCGCCGTTAATTTAGCATCGTCGCAACAATTTTTCCTTCACCTGGCAATCAGAAGCCAGTGCCTGGGGATAGAACTGGCCACATGCCTATCTGAGCTATATCCCAGAAATTATCTCCCAATATTAACGGCCATAGCAGAAGATGTCCGTAGATGAGACAAACCCATATTCTCATGGTTTGGCAGAGCAGCAGTTCTTAAAAAGAACGTACTTCCACAACTGCTATATGTCTTTCAAGCAGTGCCAATTGCAAAAACCTACACTATTCATACACTCATACCAAAATAACTGTACAAGGTTTTTATGGCACCGTAAACACCCATGCATTAGCTATGACCAACTAGTCCTGCCAAAACTAAAAGGGGAATAGGTCTCCCAGACCTCAACTACTACTATTGGGTGTGCCCCCTATCCAGAGTTGTGGACTGGCATGCACACTGCGAGGTAAAAGACTGTGTACACCTAGAGGCTTCCTTCTCGACTACACCCCTGAAAGCCCTTCCATGGCATCTCCCCAGTGCACTACAGAACCATCCGCTCATAGGACCTACCATATTCTGTTTTCACCAGGCCTGTAAGAAAACTGGGATCTCTTCAACACCTGGCCCCATGACACCTTTCCGGATGAACCCTGACTTTGTACCAGGGATGTCCTGTCTCTTCATATCAGGGGCAGAACCAAATGAAGTCCTGTGGGCTCATCAAATTGTTGATGCAGGAGTGCTGCTGAAACAGGAACAACTGACTTCACATTGGCCTGAAGTACGTTGTACTGCCTGAACATATCTCCAGCTTCATCACCTTCTTAAAAGTGCATACCCTACTGTAACGCTGTGTAGGCCACTCACAGCAATTGAAAACATTTGCTCGAAGATCAACCCACAGCAACACGTCATATCAACAATCCACAATCTCCTGAGAGCAAATATACCAACAGATACAGGGAAAGCTTGTGCTGTCTGGTCCAGAGATCTTCAAATGGGCGTAACCTCAGAAGCATGGGAGCACATTTTACATATTGCCTTTAAAGTCTTGATCAATGTCTCAATGTCAGGGAGCGAGGAGCCAGACACACAAGGAGGTGCAATTAAAGGTAGGTTTATTAATATAAAAATAAGACAAGAGTCTATGCAAGTCCAACAGCGGAAATCGTAGCCAAAGCCGGGGTCAAGAGCCAGGAAGAATCGTCGCCAGAGCCGGGATCAGGAGCCAGGAAGAATCGTCGCCAGAGCCGGGATCAGGAGCCAGGAAGAATGGTCGCCAGAGCCGGGGTCAGAAGCCAGGAGGAGTCTTAGCCAAAGCCGAGTCGGTATCCAGGAAAGCAATGAGTAGCTAAACAGGAGCTTACTGTTGTGCAACAGACAGGACACGAATGCAATGGACAGCCACAAACAGCAGACTTGTATGTGATAAGCAGCCTCCTCCTGGGGGAGCAGCTGCAGAGGGCTGAAAGCATAAAGGATCCCACAATGCTTTGCAGACACCTAAGATGGATGCCAGAACATGGAGCAGCACAAGGTCTGAGGAAAGGTAGGACCTTGACACTCAACCCAGGAGACTAATTACAAGCTTCTGCCTGGTGGTACAGGACCCCAGCTCTGCTACACAAAATTGATCCATCCCTTTCTGACCGCTGTTGGAGATGCCCCCAAGTGGCTGATACACTCCTACATTGCCCACTGATCCAACCTTTATGGTCTGATGTCCATTCCATTATTCTCCAAGTAACAACCGAAATCCTAGCCTATTCTTCAGCAGAGTACTTACTACACCACACAGTATTTCCTCTGAAGGCCTACCACAAGTTACTTGCAATGCACTTTATCAATACAGACAAGGCATGCATACCGATACATTGGGTTTCCTTCAAGTTGCTGAAATGGAGGAATTCATACATATTGCCAAAGAATCTCCCTCCAAATTCACAACTTGGGCCTGCTGGCTCACTTTTCAAACAACCGACGTGTTCCACTGAATAGGGAAAGCTACTCCCCGACCCCACATGTCAGCAGTCACGACAACCCTGACTGACCCAACCTCCCAGAGAGCTCTAATTGACTAATCTCTAGAAAGAAAAAACTATTTTCTCTCTTTCAGTCCTATATTTTTATGGCTGCACATTATGAACCACATACAGGAATGTAAGGGATGGCCCACCCCCCTTGCTCCACATAGGTGACCCCCCCAGCTTCTACACATCTCTCTGTTAGAACGTCCTCCTCTTCCCTAACTCTCTATTATCCCTCCCCCATTTTTCCCCACTTTATTCTCTCCTTCTCTCCCTGAAGTCACTTAACCACCAGACTAGCACATTTATTGGAGGACGCCATTGTCCACAGTGCAGATAGTTAAATTTGTTACCGCCTTGTCACACTAGATACCTCCATTAGCTATAATGTCAGGCCCTTATTTTCTGGGATCAAGAGGCAGCTAGTCCTTCAGGCTCATATGAGACTTCCTATATCATGTCCTATAGGCTGCCCTGTAATATTTTACAACACTACCAAGCCCCCATTTTTTTTTACAGTAGAATACACTGCCCTGATAGAATCTTTACACCCCATGTGTTTAGTATTCAGTTGCCATCAGCAGCTTGAATTGGTACCAAAACCATGTCTCATATACTTGCCTGACATTTTCCTTATTAGTTCCACTGTAAACCCTTTCATTTACACTCTATTTGTAAATTGTAACACTTTATTTGTATTCGATGTTTATTTTCAATAAAATTTGTTTGGAATAAAAATATATATAATTGCTTACAGTTAAGGAGGCAAAAGAGCATAATATATATATATATATATATATATATATATATATATATTTTTTTTTTTTTTTTTAAATACGGGCATGTAGATAAAGCTGTGTTGGTGGTGTAAATGGCTATAGACTAGATAGCTACTGTCACTGCAAAGGTTTTCAGAAATATGCACCCACATTGTCCCCATACTGGAAGATGAAGGAGAAGGTTAAAAAGGTCTACAGCTGATTGGTTGTGAACAGGGGCGGACTGGCAACTCATGGGGCCCCCGGGCAATAGGGGATCATGGGGCCCCTGTGTCCTCGCCCACACTCAAACCACACCCAAAAAAGCCTATGAAAGGTACCAGGGGCATCTCATGGGGGCCCCCTACTGACCCCGGGCCCTCGGGCACTGCCCGAGTTCCCAAATGGTCAGTCCGCCCCTGGTTGTGAAATAACCAACTAAAGTGTTTTAATCTAAATTATCATCCAATGAAGGAGTACATTCTGAAATTCATCATAGTGGTTTTTAAAAAAAATATTCACATCCAGTACTTTTTTGGAGAAGTGTATCCATACTTTCCCTTTATGTTTTTCTTTTCTTTTTATTGTTTGTCCTTTTTTTAAAGTTCTTGGAAGGTTGCTGGCAATGGCTTGCAGTGGTTATTGCACCCTTGTCATTTTGGTGCATTATTATCTGAGCAACTTGTTTCTGTACTCTTGTCACCTCTTCCACTATGTACTAAGTTGTCACCTCTTGCACTGTGATTTCCATGTTGACTTTTGCTCATATCTAGATTCTATAAAACCTGTTCATTAAGGAAAACTGTGACTGTCAAGCTATTAGGAAACCATCATGCTTCTGGCTGGCAGCACAGTCTGTGATTTGTAATTCCTAAATGGCTAGGAAGCTGTATGTAAAGTGATGCATTTGTGGTTATTCAGTAAAGTAGACCAAAGATCAATGGTCATGTACAAGGTGCAGTATCCAAATGAAACTAAACTAACTGACTAATGTGAGATCAATAAAAGGTGATTTCTGACTGATTTCTACAGATTACTGGATTTATAAGCTCATGTTTTTCCACAGTGGCATATGGACTGGTTCAGCAAGGTAGAGCACAGAGTAATAGTAATATGCAATGTGATGAGTTAATTCAAAGTACGGTATCTCTTAGCTGATGTCAATACAGTAACCTTAAAGGAAACCCATGCTTAGCCAATTCAAAGCAAATAGGCTTGCTTTCATCCCCCATTCCCTGCAGCATATGCTTTCTATCATTCTCCCTCCTCTCAGTCCAACACTAAAAGCCAAATGAAATATCTGCTACTTGGGGGCATTAAGGAGCATGTGACTCACTCCATTTACATTACCATTATACATTAATCAACAGTCTGGGTAGTGGAGCTGTGATTATTTATTTTCCTTTGTATGTAATTCAAAGCTTACACTGAACTTTATTTTATTCTCAGGATCTAAAAAGAGGGGCAGGAGTGAGGAAAAACAAAAGTAAGCATATTCTGATGGGGAGATCTGCTCTAAACATACCTGTTGCTTTGCCTTTTAAAGATCTGTTTCCACAGGCTTTTGTTAACTTCATGCAGGTTTTCCATTACGATGTAGGTCTAAAGGAAAGCAACTACCACTTGAAGCAGGTCAAATGCAGGGCAGATGTTCCTGTCATTTAATTCCGAATGATCTTAGAAGCTTCTCAAACTGATGCTATTAACACAAGTCCAAGACCTATTGACAGAGGTCCTAAAATGAATTGGTTGCTACAGGCTACTGGACTTTTAACATCACATTGCTATTTGCATTGCCTAATTAAGTAGTAGATAATACACTAGGCTAGCAACACACATTTATTATACCCAGCAGAAAAATGCATCAGCACATCATGATTCAGAAGTCATCATACCCCGATAGTTCTAACAGTAATATTTTTTTAACTCTCCCTCTTTGCTTGTCTTATGTCATACTTATACCTATATGGATATAATGGGAAAGTTAGGAGTTATTTTTACGTTTCTACCAAAATAGGCATCTAAGTGATTCATCACTCTCCATACAGCTACAAGTGTAAAAGAAATATTTTCAGTCATGAAAATCCAAGCTGTCACCATAGCAACATGCTTTTTTTTCGAACATAGAAGGAAAAACCCTTTAATGAGCAGTGTATAAATACTCTTGGCTGGATTCTAATGTGATCACTATTGGTAACAATTGTGATTGATCTGATGTTATATTAATAAGTACTATGCAGCTGAAGATTAAAAAGCCATTTATCTGAAATTTAGTAAACCAAAAGCTATGTGGTAATGCCCAGAGTAGTGAAGATGCTGAAAAGGAGTTTAGGTATCTCTTAATTTTCTTCATAATTCAATCTCAAAGGGGGCATGGTCACTGGAAAAAATCAAATAAGTGGTATATTATTTAAACTATGTCACAGTTATAGAGCCTACAAACTATAGTATATATATTTGAAATGTACCAACTGTTATGACTGCCCATCACATTTCTTGAGGCCCTCAAGTTGAAGAACAGAGCAAACACCCCCAAAATGACCTGTTTTTAGAAAGCAGACACCACAAGGCCCAAAGATATGTATTAAAGTTGTAGTAAACTTAAGAAAAAATCCCCCTGCAAGGTAATATCATAATATGCTAGTATGCATCGCATACAAGCAAATTATGAAAGACTTACCTTAGAACGAAGCTCTCTAGTGGTGTGCTGTCACCGCTGATCTTCACCTGGTCTTCCTTCCGGGTTCGTGGGCTTTGAGCCACGATGACATCCCTCCTGCACGTGGGAGTCATGGCAGCAGCACAGAGCTCTGAAGCTCATGTCATATTCCTGCAGTTCCTTCAGAGCACATGTGCCACTGATGTCTATGTATTCAGAAACTGTGAATATCTCCTAAACAGGGCATGTTTAGGAGATATTCCTTGTACCTATAGGTACGCTTACCTGTAGGTACAAGTGTCCAAGCGGTGTTCACGTCCGCTTTAAGTAGCATGGTGAGTATTTTGATTTTTCTTCTTCTTTTGGGGGGGGGGGGGGGATTAAGAATGTAATTACCAGTAAAAAGTTATTTCTCACACATAGCTTAGGCATACTTACAATCAAACCCTAAAGCACATTCTGCTTCTCTCCCAGATTATGGAGATACTACATGTTTCCAGCCAGAAGCACCTTAAGCTTTTGAAGGGCAATAATTACACAACAGATTTCTTCAATATCTATCACATTTCTTCAGACTATGAAGTTCCAGGATAGGAGAAGCATCCAATAAATAACCACATTTTGAAAAGCAGACACCCCAAGGTGTTGTTCAGAGGTTACTTCAGAGGCATAGTGAGTCTTTTGAAGATTTCATTTTTATTTTTTGTAAAATAGAGAAAACAAAAATTTATTTTTTTTCTACACAAAGTAGGGCATACCTAAATGTACTTCCCCAGACAAATTCTTCTACTCCTTTTGAGTATGGAGATACCACATGTATGAGACTGTTTCCCTGCCTAGACACATAAAGGTTCCAAAAATCCATGGAGCACCTAGCTGAATGCTGATGATCAGGACACTAACTGTGGCTAACACTGGTACTAGTGCTGGCTGATGATCAACATGTAAAGCTCTCCCTTTCCTCTTACTTCTGAATTCTGGTTTATATGATATGTGGGAAGAAAGGGAGAGACAGTCTGTGACTGGTCTCAGCAATCATGTGGTACAGCCAATTTCATTATTTCATTACCTTATGTTTGTAGTCTGCGCTGTGCAATGGACAGTGTACTCATAGTACGGTGCTGTTGTGAGAACTAGAAGTCATGCAAAAACTTACAGTTACAATTTAAAACATCATCCTACCCTGGCAGTGTGCCATCCATCAATTCTATTACAACAGGGCAATTGCAAGTGGTTACGTAATGACAAAAATATCTCCAAATAAATAGGTCCAAATAGAGACTTGTTGAAAACCTGTTGCTTTGACCTGAAGTGGCAAGGCCAAAGTTTGCTTTAACAGTGGTCTACTATGAATGAAATATGAAGGCTGCCATTCCTGACCTTTTAAAATTGCTATTTGCCTGCCTTTAGTGCTGATCCACTATACTATCAAGTCAAGTCACATCAGATTGGTGACTTAAAGATCAGTATGAAAGCTAGATAACCCGTGCTATTGTACAGTCAGCAATGGCAACCTTTGTCATCTTGTTCTTGTTCAAACAAGACAAAATCAGTGTTTTTTACTTGCACTGAAAAATGGCTTGTTTGGTAATTTCATGCTGTGGCTTCTGAGTAAATAACAGTGGAAACCTAGCAATTACGGGGGCCTAAATCTTTTACACATTTACATATAGTTTCCTAGAGCAGGGTTTTGACACTGCAGTTTTTAAATATGTCTGCACATTTTTTGTTAATCTGAACTATTACAGACAAGGGGGAAATATGTTACTTCTTTAGTTAGTAAACTGCTACATGTCCAAAGAAAATTTGATTTGTAACAAGCTCCCTTTAATACAAAAAACAGATTCAGTGAATTTTATGTTCAGTGATAATGCACACAGAATCATAACTATGTGTGGTGGAACCCTATGAAAAACAAAAAACATCAAGGGCCCCATGTTTCCCTAATCTTCATCACAAAGGCAATACTTATTTTAATGAGAATACAGAATGCGTATAGTTTTATAGTGATTCTTATATAAATACAGTACCAGATTTCATCTTTATATTTGTGTTTACACCAAACTGCCATAAACTAAAGACCGCCCATCCATTATTAAATAGGTCCCTTTTTTGTCAACAAAACAGCCCCTCTTGCACCGAAACAGCCTTTACCCATCGAGGCATGGACACCACTAAATCTTTTGAAGGTATGTTGTAGTATCAGTAGCAGATCCTTTACGTCCTGTAAGTTGTGAGGTGGGGCCTTCATGGGCTGGACTTGTTTTTCATGCACATGCCACAGATTTTGATTGGATTGAGATCTAGAGAATTCAGAGGCCAAGTCAATACTCTGAACTCATTGTTGTGTTTCCTTGAACCATTTTTGTAGTGTGGCAGGGCACGTTATCCTGCTGAAAGAGGACACTGCCATCAGGGAATACTGTTTCCGTGAAGGGGTGTATTTGGTAAGCAACAATGTTTGGTAGGTGGTACATGTCAAGTAACATCCACATGAATGGCAGGTCAAAAGGATTTCCAGTAGAACATTGCCCAAAGCATAACACTACCTCTGCTTCTCTTCTTCCCATACTGCATCCTTGTGACATCTCTTCCCAGGTAAACAATGCAAATGCACTCTGCCATCCACATGATGTACAACTGCAAAGAATATGTGATTCGCCAGATCAACCACCTTTCTTACATTGCTCAGTGGTCCAGTTCTGATGCTCACATGTCTATTGTAGGCGCTTTTGGCTGTGGACACGGGTCAGCATGGGCACCTTGACTTGTCTGCAGCTAGGTAGCCCAATACAAAACAAATTGTGATGCCCATTTTTTTGTTTGCTTTCAACACATC